TGCCACTTAAGGCAGCTTACTAGATCGGCAGGTCACCATTGTGTATGCTCAACAGCCGGCCCAGGCCTGCATAGACCTGGCCCTCTGCCACTTACTTGCAAGCAGTGTGGGCTCCCAACATGTTCATGGGATGAATAAATGACAAACAAGCAGGCTGTGAGCAGATCTGATACAGATGTCAGCCTCAGGGCCTCTGGGTACCTGGTCCCCAGACTGAGTCTGGAATCTTCCATGCATCTGGCCCTAGTCAGACCGGCTTCACTGCCTGGTGGAGCAAGGCTGTTCTCTGACCCTACTCTGGAAGCCCTTCCCCCATCTCCTCTTTGGAATCTATTTATTATTTACAGCTGCTCCAGGAGATCTGCCAGGACACCTCCTGCAAGATTACAGCTCCTGCTGGTGCAGAGAGCCTGCCTGAGATAAAATAGAAGGCAGGGCTTTGAAAGGAGCAAGGGGCCAGCCAAAACCAGTCCTTCTGTGACTTGTGCGTGTATGGCAAGCTGGGGTGTGGGACACAGGAATGCCCTAGGCCAGACTCCCACCTTGGGAGTATTGCCAGGACAGGGGCCAAGAAGACAGAGAACATTCTATACCACTTGCTCTGTGTTAAGCTTGCCTACAACACCCCCCACAAACACACATGCATCACCATCACCACCATCATCATCACCATCTTTGTCATCACTTTCTCAGTGCCAGGAGCCACAGGAAGGAAGTGAAAGCACAGAGAACTCCCGTGAGTTCTCCAAGGCCACACAGATGAACGTGTCTGGGGGCAGGAACTCAACCCAGTTCAGGTAGTGCTGGTCCATCCATCAGTCACATGGGCATGGCATCAACTATGATGATAGCCAGAGAGTAAGTCCTAAATCCCAAGTCCTGAGAGACTCCTAAAAGGTGAGAAGCTCTCTGGGCCAGCCTTGGGGAACTGAAGGTATAGCCAGGCCGTTCACTGGAGAACAAGATGGGGTCAGACCTGAAAGTCAAACATGGCAGACACTGAGGCAGCCGTCGGGAGCCATATACCAGCAAGGAGAGCATAGTGGAAGTAGAGGTTGAGGGAAGCTGTGACACCTGCCATGGACTTGGTTCAAGACCCCACCTAAGCCCAGGGCTTGGTTTCAGAATTTTTGCTCAGGAAACTGTTCCCTGTTTACACTTAAAGGCATGCCAGATATCTGTTCTTTGGGCCTCAGTTTCCCCAAATGTTTCAGTGAGCATTTTTAAAGAAACGGCTGGCTGCTGGGAAATTGATAGAGACGTGGGACAGTCAGTCACTGCAGCTGGAGGGCACAAAACTAGCTGCCCCTAGGGATGAGGAGAAGCAGGGCTCATGGGGCCCGCAGGGAGGGAGACGTCCTCGTCCAGAGGAAGGAGTTACAGCATTGTGTTCTGGGGGTTCAGCTTGGCGGGCTGGAGATGTCGAATCCTCAGGGGCTGAGGCTGGTCCAGGTGGCCTGGGAAATCTGTTTCTGACACTACGCATGTCAGCAACGAGGGCACTCTGATATGTGAGCCTTGAAGTTGCCAGACACCTCCAAGTGTGCTCTTCCTGGCCACAGCACAGAGGGGGAAGTGAGGTGGTCCATGGCGTGGGACATGTCCATGCCTGCTGTCTGTCAAACGGCCATAAATGATTCACTGGTCCCCAGGACTTAGGGAGAGTCCTTTAATGCCACCTGGCAGCACACTGGCCTTGAGGGGTCCCAGCTACAGAAACAATTGAACGAGTTAATGAGAAGAAAAATAGCCGGGCATTGGTGGCGCACACCTTTAATCCCAGCACTTCCGGAGGCAGAAATAGTAAGCTATCGAGGTGATTGGTCTCATTGCCGCCATATATGATTTTTTTTTCAACTCTCCAATACCAGTTAACGCGGATTGCCTCCAAAGAACGAAATACCTGAATACCTGCGACTAAGACCGCATTTGGTTCAATAAGAGGATAAACTCCCAGGAACCCGGAATTCTTCATCAGATTCAACCTTGTTCTTATACGAAAATGGCTGCCCCAGCTCCAGCCATCACATATACACACCAGGAGGAAGATGACTAGAGAATTCCCTTTTCTCTACAAATGAGGTCCCTTTTAGACTTCCTCTTACATCTCACTGGCTAGAACTGGGTCAGAGGCCCAACCGGAGTGAATGGCTAAATGAATCATCATAGTCACCTTTAGGGGGCCAGATCTATGGTGATCACAAACATTTCTGTGGGTATGGCCACTGCTGCTCCAAACAGACTGCTGAAGAACTGCCAGGAAAGGAAAGAGATTATGCATAGATGGAGTCTTCCTATGAGTAGGAGACAGGCAGGCAGCTGTGAGGAGGCTCTGCAGGGAGAGAGAGAGAGAGAGAGAGAGAGAGAGAGAGAG